GGAGGAGTGGTAGATATGCTGGAGGGGAGGGATAGGATACAGAAGGACCTAGACAAATTGGAGGACTGGGCCAAAAGAAATCTGATGAGGTTCAATAAGGATAAGTGCAGGGTCCTGCACTTAGGACGGAAGAATCCAATGCACTGCTACAGACTAGGGGCCGAATGGCTAGGCAGCAGTTCTGTGGAAAAGGACCTAGGGGTGACAGTGGACGAGAAGCTGAATATGAGTCAGCAGTGTGCCCTTGTTGCCAAGAAGGCCAATGGCATTTTGGGATGTATAAGTAGGGGCATAGCGAGCAGATCGAGGGACGTGATCGTTCCCCTCTATTCGACATTGGTGAGGCCTCATCTGGAGTACTGTGTCCAGTTTTGGGCCCCACACTTCAAGAAGGATGTGGATAAATTGGAGAGAGTCCAGCGAAGGGCAACAAAAATGATTAGTAGTCTGGAACACATGAGTTATGAGGAGAGGCTGAGGGAGCTGGGATTGTTTAGTCTGCAGAAGACAAGAATGAGGGGGGGATTTGATAGCTGCTTTCAACTACCTGAAAGGGGGTTCCAAAGAGGATGGCTCTAGACTGTTCTCAATGGTAGCAGATGACAGAACGAGGAGTAATGGTCTCAAGTTGCAGTGGGGGAGGTTTAAATTGGATATTAGGAAAAACTTTTTCACTATGAGGGTGGTGAAACACTGGAATGCGTTACCTAGGGAGGTGGTACAATCTCCTTCCTTAGAGGTTTTTAAGGTCAGGCTTGACAAAGCCCTGGCTGGGATGATTTAACTGGGAATTGGTCCTGCTTCAAGCAGGGGGTTGGACTAGATGACCTTCTGGGGTCCCTTCCAACCCTGATATTCTATGATTCCATGATTCTATGAACACTGGCCAGATCATAGCAAGCACAGATACAGGAAGTGATCCACGAGATCCGCTGGGAGGAGACTGCGAGGCCCTTCATCCAGTCCACCACCGCGACGAAGAGCTGGGTCATTTTCCTGAACGGCTTCATACGCTCGATGTAGAAGGCAAGGGCCCTACGAACATCGAGGGAGTGTAGCCGTTGTTCCTGATGAGTAGCATGCGGTTTTGGATAAAAAAAAAGGAGGAAAATGTCCTAGTTGATATGAAAGGTCGATACCACCTTGAGAAGAAAGGCCGGGTGAGGTCGTAGCTGCACCTTGTCCTTATGGAAGATCGTGTATGGTGGTTCCAAGGTAAGAGCTTTGAGCTTGGATACACGCCTCGCCGATGTAATAGTGACGAGGAAAGCCATTTTCCAAGAGAGGTATAGGAAGAAACAGGTGGCCAATGGCTCAAACAGGGCCCCCATAAGCCCGGAGAGGACGAGGTTAAGGTCCCATGTGGGGACTGGCTGCCGTACCTGTGGGTAGAGACGGTCCAGGCCCTTAAGGAACCTAAGGACCATGGGGTTGGCAAAGACAGATCAGCCATTCGCTCCCGGGTGAAAAGCCGAAATGGCTGCCATGTGGACCCTGATGGATGACATCACCAGGCCCTGCTGTTTCAGGCTCAGGAGATAGTCCAAAATGAGAGGCATGGATGCTTGGAGGGGGGGTGGGGGTGCCACGGTGAGAGCACCAGCATGAGAATCACTTCCATTTAGCCATATATGTGGCCCAAGTGGAAGGTTTCCTGCTACCCAACAAAACCTGCTGCACCAAATGAGAACAGAGGAGCTCTGAGTGGCTCAGCCATGCAGCATCCATGCCGTGAGGTTGAGGGATCATAGGTCTGGGTGACAGAGGCAGCCGTGATCCTGAGTGATCAAGTCCAGAAAAAGAGGCAGCGGAACCGGGGCGTCCACCGAGATCTCCAATAGTGTGGTATACCAATGTTGCCTGGGCCATGCTGGGGCAACCAGAATCAGCCGGGTTCTGTCCCTGCGCACCTTGAGCAGGACCTTGTGTACAAGGGGAAATGGCGGGAAGGAGAAAAACAATCGGCTTGTCCATGGGAGTAGGAAGGCATCTGTGAGAGAGCCCGGGGAGCGGCCTTGGAGGGAGCAAAACGCTAGGCACTTCTGATTGCTGCGTGAGGCAAACAGGTTGAGCTGGGGAAACCCCCACTTTAGGAAGATGGAGTGGATGACATTGGGATGGAGTGACCACTCGTGGGATTGGAAGGACCTGCTGAGGTGGTCCACCAATGTGTTCTGGACCCCTGAGAGAAAAGATGCTACCAGGTGAGTGGAGTGTGCTATGCAGAACTCCCACAGCCGAATGGCCTCCTGACAGAGGGGGGAGGAATGGGCCCCCCCTTGCTTGTTGATGTAGAACATGGCTGCGGTGTTGTCTGTGAGGACCGCCACACAACTTCTATGCAACCGCTCCCGAAAGGCTTGACACGCAAGACGCACTGCCATCAGCTCCCGTATGTTGATATGGAGAGAGAGCGCTTGGATGGGGCCCACAGACCCTGCGTCTGGATGTCCCCGAGATGTGCGCCCCATCCCAGAGCTGATGCGTCCATGACGAGGGACAAGGAGGGCTGAGGGATGTGGAAGGGGACTCCCTTGCATACTGCACTGGGGTCTAGCCACCAGTGGAGAGAGGCCAGGACCTTTCCCGGGACTGTGACCACCAGGTTCAGGCTGTCGCGACCTGGGCAATAGACTGATGCCAGCCAGGCTTGAAGCGGGCAGGGCCGTAATCTGGCATGCCTGGTCACGTATGTGCAGGAAGCCATGTGCCCTAGAAGACTAAAACATGTTCTTGCCGTTGAGGTTGGGAAGCTTTGAAGGCTCCGGATGAGGCCCGACAAAGCTTAGAAATGAGCGTCCGGCAGGACTCGGGCCTGCATGGAATCTAAGACCGCCCCAATGAATTCTATTCTCTGGGTTGGCTCTAGAGCTGACTTTGCCACATTGAGGAGGAGGCCTAATTGACAAAACGTGTCCTTGACCAGTTGAAGGTGGGATTGCATCTGTTCTTTGGTGCAACCACGGATGAGCCAGTCGTTGAGATATGGGTATACTTGTATCCATCTCCGACGAAGGAAGGTTGTCATGACTGCCATACATTTGGGGCAAGTCTTCACTACCCGCCGGAAAGGTTAACAGAATCTTGGGAATCATAAGGAAAGGAACGAGGAGTACTTGTGGCACCTTAGAGACTAACAAATGTATTTGAGCATAAGTTTTGTGGGCTAAAACCCACTTCATTGGATGCATGCAGTGGAAAATACAGAAGGAAGACATATATATATATATATATACACACACAAAGAACATGAAAAAATGTTTTTCCCCCTACTGATAATAGCTCACCTTAACTGATCACTCTCGTTATAGTGGGTATGGCAACACCCATTTTTTCATGTTCTCTATGTATATATATATCTTCCTACTGTATTTTCCACTGCATGCATCCGATGAAGTGCATTTTAGCCCACGAAAGCTTATGCTCAAATACATTTATTATTCTCTAAGGTGCCACAAGTACTCCTCGTTCTTTTTGCTGATACAGACTAACACGGCTACCACTCTGAAACCTGTCACCATATAAGGAAAGGAATAGATAATAAGACACAAAATATCATATTGCCTCTTTATAAATCCATGGTTAGGGTTAGGGTGCACCTCTGGTCACCTTGGCTAATAGCTACTGATAGACCTATTCTCTATGAATTTATTGAATTATTTTTTTAACTCAGTTCTTATTATGGCCTTCACAACATCCCCTGCCAATGAGTTCCACAGGTTGACTGTGCAATGTGGGAAGAATTTTGTTCCTTTTGTTTGTTTTAAACTTGCTGCCTTTAAATTTCATTAGGTGATCCCTGGTTCTTGTGTTATATGAAGGGGTAAATAACGCTTCCTTACGCACTTCCTTATGCACTTTTTCCACACCATTCATGATTTTATGGGTTACTCTATTATATCCCCCCTTAGTAATCTCTTTTCCAAAATGAACAGTCCCAGTCTTCTTAATTTCTCCTCATATGGAAGCATACCCCTAATCATTTTTGTTGCCCTTCTCTGCACCTTTCCCAATTCTAATATTTCTTTTTTCAGAATGAATGACCAGAACTGCATACAGTATTTAACGTGTGGACATATGTTGGCTTTATAGAGTGGCATTATGATATTTTAAGTTTAGGTTGGACATTAGAAAAAACTTCCTAACTGTCAGAGTAGCTAAGCACTGCAATAAATTGTCTAGGGAGGTTATGGAATTTCCGTCATTGGAGATTTTTAAGAGCAGGTTAGACAAACACCTGTCAGGGATGGTCTAGATAATACTCAGTCCTCATATGGGTGCAGAGGTCTGGACTAGAAGACCTCTCGAGGTCCCTTCCAGTTTTACTGTCTATGATTTTCTGTCTTATTAGTTATTCCATTTCTAACACTGTGAGCTTTTTTGACTGCCACTGCACATTGAGCAGTTGTTTTCAGTGAACTGTCCACAATGACTACAAGATCTCTTTCTTGACTGGTAATAGCTAATTTAGACCCCATCATTTTGTATGTATAGTTGGGATTATGTTTTCCCATGTACATTACGTTGCATTTATCAACATTGAATTTCATTTGCCATTTTGTTGCCTAGTCACCCAATTTTGTGAGATCCTTTTGTAGGAGCAGATTTTTGCTAGACCAGAGCCCAGTAACATCCCTGAACCACTGCCCGCAGCTGGAATACCAATTGTTATGCTTATTGCTGAAAGCAGCTAAAAGGAGCCCTTTCTGAAACCTTAGCACACCTAACAGACCAGGAGGGGAGGATGAAGTGAGTTACCACGAAGCGTAAACATGACCCTCTGCCCTCCTGACTTGAGTTGTTTTTCCAAAGCATGAGGTTTTGCAAGATGGAAAGTCTGGCAATAGTTAACTGTTGCTACACAGCTGGTTAACTGATGGAAAATTCCCTACTTGACAGGCTGAAAATCTCCACATTTAGCTTGTTCATCAAAAAACCTATGAAGCAGAATCTAAGTTATGTAACACTAACAAATTGGATATAAAAAGAGGAAAAAAAATCTGAGCTCAGTGGACACTTGGACACCTCTTATGTTCTCCTGCAGATGGAAACTTGACCGTTAGAAGTCTACAGTTACCCACTCAAGACCTCTTCAAGACCCTGGGTAAATACAAATCTGGGGGTGATTTGGGATGCTCTACTAACCTGTTGCAGACATGTGTAAGTGCTGGGGACTAAATAAAGCAGAAGCTTTGAGTGAAAGCACTTTTGTTTGCCTGCTTGTATCAATTATCTATCGGCTAGATGGCTGTCCCCCCACTGATTTATTTCCTCCCACCGCCTCACAAAGATTATGTGATATACTTATACCTTGGGGGAGCATCTTGTAATCCCAATATTCCCCATCTGTATATAATTGTGATATTACATATAAAGCATGCTTTGTAAGGTATCAGGGGAAATGTTATGACCTGCTGAAAGTCATTTCTCTATCCATATATGTATAGCATTAATGAAGTTACGAGAATTGTGTTGTATGGTTATCACTAAAACATACTATAAGCGGGAGAATCAGCCAGATATCAGCTCCCCAGAGGCAACAGCAAGCAAAGTAACCAATGCCTGGGCAGGGTGTCAAACAACCCATCAACAGCCATTGTCCAGCAAGGGAGCTACAATTCAATGACTCATCTGCATAAGGCCACACCAGGGGAATTCCTCAACCTTGTCTGGTGAGTCAGCAATGCCCCCCAGACTTGCCTGGACTTGTGTTCTACAAGCACATGGACTGAGGTTATAAAACAGACACAGTGAGCACATGCAGGGCCCCTTTCTCCTTCCCCCACCTACGCTGCAAGCAACTATAACACTGAGAAGATGACAAGACTCCAACAGAGGAGACTGGCCAAGGTTTAAGGAACAAACTTGTATATTAAGGACTGCAATATCCAGTAGGGTGAGAAAAGCTGCTTAATCTAGTTGCTGCCCAATCTAATAGGGTGGAGAGTTTAGACTGCGTGCTTATATTTTATTTCTTTTGGTAACTAGACTTTTTGCTTATCACTTAATATCACTTAAAATCTATTTTTGTAGTCAATAAATTTGTTTTACTGTTTATCTTTACCAGTGAGTTTGTATGAAGTATGTGGCAAATCTGCTCAGGTTTTGCAAAGGGTGGTGTATATCCACTTTCCACTGGTGAAGTGGCGAACCAATTAATAAATGTGCACTGGTCATCTTGAGCAGTGGAAGACAGTATATTCCTGAGGTACTGTGCTGGGAGCTGGGGGGATTTGATTCTGGTGCCTTTCTCTGTGTGATTTATGAGTGGCTCTCGGAGCATTAATGCAATCTAGGTGGGTGTTGGGTCTCCACATGCGGTTCTGCTAAGGGATAACAGCACCTAGAGGGGTTTGCTGCTGGTCACTAGTAAGGCATTGTGAGAGACAGCCCATACTGGAGAGAGTTAAGGGGGCACAGTGGTCCCACAGTCCCAGCACGCACCCTGGGGGTCCTGTCACAGTAAAGTTAACAAGAGCTTTAGGTTCAGTAAAACCCAGGGGAAACAGAATTGGAGCTCCAAGCAAGAATTGGTGGAGAGAAAGGGGACGGCTGGGGCAAACCAGCAGTTTTGCATTGCAGTAGAAGGTAGAGGACAGTGAGGTGAGGTAGCTCCGTACAGTTCTCATGTCGTAGTTCACGAGTCAATTCATGGATAAATTCCATTACTGAGACTTAGAGCTCAGGCCAGTGGCAATTATGTTCAAAGGAAAGGAAACATCTGGAAAAGAATAATAGTTGGAAATTGTTTTGGGAAATAGCTTGACTGATTTTGAACAGGAGCATAGTAATGGTCTCTGGAAGCCTGGGAGCTTGACCAGCCCCAGAGAATTCCTGTAGCTCTGTAAGCAGATGTTAGCGACGTTAGTAGGTAAAGAGATAGGTCAGTTAAAGGCAAGATTGGAGGAATTAGTGAAATATCAAGTCGAGAAAGACAAAGAGATATCCAGCTTGAAGGCTGAATCAGACACCTTCTGGGCTCAGATAGTGGGAATACAAAAGCAAGTGTGTGATAGTAAGAGAGTGAGTAAGAAGTTGGAGCAGGAAGTGTTTGGATTGAAACATCAGACAATGGAGAATAAAAGAATTATTAAGGCCTTACTGTAGGATTCTCAGGATAAGATTGAGGCAGATAATGGGAATGTAAAGGACAAAGTTGTGCTCTCAGAGCCAGGTTGGGAGAGCAGAAGGTAACAGTGACTGCAATTTGAGGAAGGGTGATGGGTCAGAGGAGGATCTCCACTGGTATCCTTCTCATTATGGGTATGAGAGGGATGATCCTCATGAGCTTCCTTTTCCTTTGGGCTCTTCTGGGAATTTCCCATATGGTCCATTGCTTGAAACACTGGAAGAACTACAGACGCCAAGGCCCATAACCCCTATGGTGAGGAAGATTGGTCCCCAAGGGGGTAACCCAGGAGGGGAAGAAGGGTAGAGGTCAGGCCTTCACCGCTGACCAGGGTAGGGCAGCAGGGAAATTGGTTGGTTTGTTAAGCTGAAGCACAGTCTTGGGATGGCTGGCAAGGCTAGCTGGCACCCCCAGTCTCACTCCGGCAGATGTGGTGGCAACTCTCACTCTCCTCTCAGAGTCAGGACTGGGGCTAGTGGTATGGGTTACCAGATGCTTTGGTCCACAAAGCCCCACTTTTAGATTTGTTGTTGCTGTCGGTACTTTTTCTTGGCTTAGGTTTTCCTTTCTTTCTATGTCGTTCTTCCCCCTCCTTCCGTTTACTCTTTCTCTTCACAACCCCCCATCCTTCAACTTGTTTTTTCTCTTGTGTTTTTGTTTTGAAAGTTAAGGGTTAATGTCACAGCTGAAAGTATTTTCCTGCCCTTGAAGATATGTTTGCCATGCAACAGAAAAGTTTACTTTGCTACTGCTACTTCGCAACTGCTTGGGAAACAGTTTTGAGAAAAGTAGAAAATTAACAAAAGAATGATTGGGCCCAAAGATTATTGTTTATTTTAGGGCCAAAAGGGGAGCTTCGTATTTTATGTGGAGTCAGAAAGAGGGACATTGGAACACAATTTGTTGTTAGATACAGGTGCCACTTATTCCTTGATGAATACCCAGAAATGAGAACCTGTTTGAATCTCTGGCTAGAGTTAAAACCTTACAGGGATTTAATGAGGCACAGAGTGTTGTTCCCTTTTGCAGAAACATTCTGTATCGGTTAGGGGAAAGGAAAATAAGGGGCAATTTGGTTTAATGGATTTTGGGAGGAAAAGGGATCCTGGGAATTCACGTTTTAAGGGAATTGAGATTGCTGATTTTGCTAACAGGGTCCTATGGGAAACGCCTCCTGGCACGTCCTGGGAATCAGTTCAGATTTCAGCGAGATACTGGATAGCAGCCCTTAAGGCATCTGAGGAATTGGAGTGGCCCTCAAAAGTCCTAGCAATTGCAGAAAAACACCGGAAGCTGTAGGCCAAAATTCTGATAGAATGTGGTAAATTTGAGGCAGAAATCCTAGTTACAGGCCCCAATCCCCCACCCCAGAAGCGGTATAAGTATCCAAAGGAGGCAGAAGCCATCCTGAAAGAAACATTTGATGAACTTTTGGGACAAGGAGTTTTAGTGGAACAGACAAGCCCTAATAATGCTGCTCTGTGGCCAGTCCTTAAAGGTGATAGCAGAACTTGGAGGCTTGTGGTAGATTTTTGTCCCCTTAATTGGGTGAACCTACAGATGGCCCCCGTTGTGGCAAAGTATGAGGAGGTGATGGTCTCCATTGTAGGAAGGGCCCAGTGTTTTTCAGTTTTTGATTTGGCCAATGCTTTCTTTGCTATCCCTTTACATAAGGAAAGCTATTACAAATTTGCTTTTACATTTCATAGAATCATAGAATCATAGAATATAAGGGTTGGAAGGGACCCCAGAAGGTCATCTAGTCCAACCCCCTGCTTGAAGCAGGACCAATTCCCAGTTAAATCATCCCAGCCAGGGCTTTGTCAAGCCTGACCTTAAAAACCTCTAAGGAAGGAGATTCTACCACCTCCCTAGGTAACGCATTCCAGTGTTTCACCACCCTCTTAGTGAAAAAGTTTTTCCTAATATCCAATCTAAACCTCCCCCACTGCAGCTTGAGACCATTACTCCTCGTTCTGTCATCTGATACCATTGAGAACAGTCTAGAGCCATCCTCTTTGGAACCCCCTTTCAGGTAGTTGAAAGCAGCTATCAAATCCCCCCCTCATTCTTCTCTTCTGCATGCTAAACAATCCCAGCTCCCTCAGCCTCTCCTCATAACTCATGTGTTCCAGACCCCTAATCATTTTTGTTGCCCTTCGCTGGACTCTCTCCAATTTATCCATTTCAAGGGAAGCAGTTATGTTTTGCAAGGGTCCCCAAGAGCTGGAACGATGCCCCTATTAACTGTCATGCCCAGGTAGTCAAGATGCGAGTGGGAATGTCTGAAAAAGACAGTGTAATTTTTGTGTGTGGATAATATCCTAGTTTACACTCAGACCAAGGAAGAGTATCTAGAGGTACTGGACAGAATGTTACAAAAGATTCAGGAAGCTGGGTTTAAAGTAAGCCCAGCTGTGGTCCCAACAAGTAAATTATTTTGGAGTGATTTGGGAACACAAGGGGTGTCCCCCTGACCAACAGAGAGTTTTGCTGAGATTTTATTGAGGAATTTTCAAAGAAGGCAGCCCCACTGCATGAATTGTTAAAGAAGGGAGCAGGGTGAAACAGTGTTTGTGCTGCAGCTGGCAATTACAGATAGGGGAATGGAAGCAGTACTGAGTCAGAACTATAGAACAAGGCTCTGCCCCATGGCTTATGCCTCCAAAACGTTAAGTGAAGTAGAGGGGATTTACTCCCTGTGAAAAGAAGGTTTTTGGCACTAGTTTGGGCTTTGCAGCATTGGGAATATCTGGTAGGATTGTCCCTTGTGTTACTGAAAACTACCCACTCTCCAGTAAAACATGTACGCACAGGCAAAATTAATAACAGTCATGTGTCCAGCCTCAGCAAGCCCTAGACAAACCAGGGCTGATGAATTTGCTGAGCTTCAAGAGGGTGCTAAAAGCACAGTTAAAAGTTCAAGAGTTCCGTCCCAGGGAAAAAGTGTGTGTGTGTGGGGGGGGGGTACGACTCAGGCCTGGATGGGTCTGAGTAAAAGTTAATAAGTTTAGCTTAAATGTTTTAGTGATACCTCCCTATATAGGGAGGGGAAAAGTTTGTTCTGCTTTGTGTTTTAGATTATTAACCATTGTGACAGGGTCGGGCCAGATGGCTACACGACAGTAATAGAAGGCAGATATATTAGCCCCAGGTTAAGTAGGTCCCTTTTCCCTGGGTAAGGTAACAGGGAAGGTTCCAGAACAATCAGGAACCTTCTGGAGACAATTAAAGCAGACAGGCTGATTAGAACACCTGCAGCCAATCAAGAAGCTGTTAGAATCAATTAAGGCAGGCTAATCAGGGCATCTGGGTTTAAAAAGGAGCTCACTTCAGTTTGTGGTGCGCGTGTGAGGAACTGGGAGCAAGAAGCACTAGGAGCTGAGAGTGAGAACGTGGACTGTTGGAGGACTGAGGAGTACAAGCATTATCAGACACCAGGAGGAAGGTCCTATGGTGAGAATAAAGAAGGTGTTGGGAGGAGGCCATGGGGAAGTAGCCCAGGGAGATGTAGCTGTTGCACAGCTGTTCCAGGAGGCACTCTAGACAGCTGCATTCCACAGGGCCCTGGGCTGGAACCCGGAGTAAAGGGCGGGCCCGGGTTCCCCCCAAGCCTCCCAACTCCTGGTCAGACACAGGAGGAGTCGACCTGGACTGTGGGTTCAGAAAAATGGCCAAGCTGAGGGCTGCCATGAAGCTCCAAGGCAAGCAAATCCACCAATTTGTGCAAGACCCACCAAGGTAGAGGAGGAACTTTGTCACATCATATGGATGCTGGAAGATTTTGGAGACAATGCACTCCAGTGTGCTGCTGCTGGCATTTGGATTGCAGACCTGCTCTTTGGTGATGCGAATCAGAAACCCATTGTGTCTGAAGCATGGGGAGACTATCCATGAGTGACAGGAAAATGTAAAGTGAACTGTACCCTTGACATCACTACTGATCCCAACATCCCAGGAGAACAAATCACTCGTAGGCCCTTGGACTGAAATGACCCCACTTCAGTAAAATTGAAAGGCTTGGATTTGGACAAAGTAAATATGAGCGTGGGAATGAGCAAAAACTGGCAATGTAGCATGGTTTGGGTTGCAAATGGTCTACGCTGGTGCCTACGGAATCTCTACCACTTTGGTGGCAACTACAGCATCCTCATGTGGATAGTGGGGGAGCGGATTTGTTAGTGGGGAGAATTAAAAGCTACCCAGGTGGGTACAGTTGTCACTAGGTGGAACTGACAGGCTGTTGTTTAATTGTTGTAAGTCCAAATGTGTTCATTTGTGGACTGACATCCCCAAGAGGACAGCACTGGGGGAAAAGACAGTTCATTTTGGGCAAAAACAAACCCTTTCACCCCAACCACTGGACAAGAAGGTCTGGGGGAGGCAAGGCTACAGACAGTGATACCACGAGGGGAATGGAAGGTTCCTTTGCCCTGCATTTTGGAGGCCCTGTGTTCTCAAGAAATTTATAAGAGGGATAAAGAATGTTTTGATAATACTGTGGTTAAAATGGTGCCTTGGTAAAATAGTTATTAACATGCAGCCAATATGACAGGAAAATGGCTCCTCCGGGGACCCCATGGAATAAAAAGTACGAAAGTGTGAATTTTGGGACCACCTGTAATTAGTTTGGTCAGGGCATATGTGGTTCAAACCAATGTAAAGAAGCAATTGGCAATTAACCCCACCTACTCCCTCAAAAAGGCCATCACAGACCTAAGCCTAGCACACTTTTTGGCACTAGAGCCCCACTGTGAGTGATCTGTCCAGCCATTATCTGAAGGCTGAGGAAAAACTGGATAAATTTACATAAGGTCCCCAAATCTGGCAAGGGCCGGGTAAGAAGGGATCTATGGGGAGCAACTGAAACGAGGGCAGGGGTTCTTAAGAGCATAAATGAGGAAGTATTAGCAAACAAGATAGATGGAATGGGTTGACACATATAGATTATGGGTGATGTTTAAAGGAATCATAGAATATTAGGGTTGAAAGAGACCTCAGGAGGCCATCTAGTCCAATCCCCTGCTCAAAGCAGGACCAACACCAACTAAATCATTCCAGCCAGGGCTTTATCAAGCCGGGCCTTAAAAACCTCTAAGGATGGAGATTCCACCACCTCCCTAGGTAACTCATTCCAGTGCTTCACTGTGGAATTTGACATGAATGCAACAAAAATGCCCTGAAAGTACATGATGTGTGTTTGGAAATGGCTGAAGGAAAATCCCATAGCTTATGATCCTTGTGTCATGGTATAGGATTTGGGGATGTGATTCTGAATTTCAAGTGCTGGAACTTAAATATAATCAGTTAAGAGAGACAAATACTTTGTACTCTGCTGTAAAACCTGTACCCCTTGAGATGACTTTAACTGTTTTACAGACGTTGCCTGTACACCCTGATTTGCAGAACCAGCTGCACGCAGCCAAACAGGAAGGGTGTAGAGTCATGGTTATTGTGCATCATAACACCAATGAAATTAAATGCATATTTGCAAGAACTGGCCAGGACCTAACACACCAGTGGTGAGAAGTATTATTGGAATTGTCCCCGACTGGCACAGGGATCTTGAATTTGGCCCTGCACCCCATTATAGTCATTTTGGTATTCCAAATAGTAGCGGTTTTCTTTTTCAGTCTGATGACATATTGGACCTGGCGCAAAACTCAGCAATTCCAAGTCCCCTGACAGATGAGCCAGTGGCTCTCTCACCATTGCTCTTACCCTTAGAAGGGGAGTATGTACAACTTGCCACCGTGTAGTCATCATCCAGATAATCTGGTGTGCTGAGTGTGGGATGCCAAGAAGAAGATCATTTGCTCAGTCTCAGCTGAGCGCCTTGAGCTTTTGCTGCATCACAGCTCTGGTGCAACCAGAGTCCTTTGTGGGGATGACTATAGGTAGATAAAGACCCCTTATGATAACAAAACAAAAACAAAAAAAAAGTGGGCTTTAAGGAGGGGACTGTAGGAGCAGATTTTTGATAGCCCAGTAAGATGCCTGAACCACTGTCTGCAGCTGGAATACCAAATGTTATGCTTATTGCTGAAAGCAGCTAAAAGGAGGCCTTTCTGAAACCTTAGCACAACTAACAGACCACGAGGAGTAAACATAACCCTCTGCCCTCCTGACTTGAGCTGTTTTTCCAAAGCATGTGGTTTTGCAAGATGGAAAGTCTGGCAATAGTTGACTGTTACTATACAGATGGTTAACTGATGGAAAATTCCCTTCCTAACAGGCTGAAAATCTCCACACTTAAGTGCTAAGCAGAAACTAAGTTATTTCGATGCACAAGCTATGTAATACTAACAAAATGGATATAAAAAGAGGAAAAAATCTGAGCTCATTGGATACTTGAACACCTCTCATGTTTCCCTGAAGACGGGAAGTTGGCCACTGGAAGTCTAGTGACCCTGGGTAAATATGAATCTAGGGGTGATTTGGGGTGCTCTACTAACCTATTGTGGATGTGTATAAGTGATGGGGACTAAATAAAGTAGAAGCTTTGAGTGAAAGCACTTTTGTTTGCCTGATTGCATCAACTATCTATCGCAGAGGTGGGCAAACTACGGCCCGCAGGCCATATCTGGCCCGCGGGACCCTCCTGCCCGGCCCTGAACTCCTGGCCCGGGAGGCTAGCCCCCAGCCCCTCCCCTGCTGTTCCCCCTCCCCCGCAGCCTCAGCTCACTGCGCTGCCGGCGCAATGCTCTGGGCGGCGGGGCTGAGAGCTCCTGGGGCAGCGTAGCTGCAGAGCCCGGCCTGACCCGGTGCTCTGTGCTGCGCGGTGGCGTGGCTGGCTCCAGCCAGGCGGCACGGCTGTAGTGTCACCAGCGCTCCAGGGAGCGCGGTAAGGGGGCAGGGAGCAGGGGGAGTTGGATAGAGGGCAGGGGAGTTCAAGGGTGTGGTCAGGGGGCGGGGGTGTGTATAGGGGTCAGGGCGGTCAGAGAACAGGGAACAGGGGGGTTGAATGGGGACAGGGGTTCCAGGGGGGCAGTCAGGAAGGGGGGGTTAGATGGGGTGACGGGGGGCACTCAGGGGTGGGGGGTCTGGGGGCATCAGGGGACAGGGAGCAGGGGGTGGTGGATGGGGCAGGAGTCCCAGGGGGGCCCATCAGGGGGCAAAAAGCGGGGGGTGGGGGTTGGATAGGGGTTGGGTGCCAGGCCACGCCTAGCTGTTTGGGGAGGCACAGCCGCCCCTAACTGGCCCTCCATACAATTTTGGAAACCCGATGTGGCTCTCAGGCCAAAATGTTTGCTCGCCCCAGATCTATCGGCTGGATGGCCGTGTCCCCATTGATTTATTTCCTGTCACCGCCTTGCAAAGAGTAAAGTTACCAAGAGCTTTGGGTTCAGCAAAGCCCCAGGTAACACCTTTGTAACTCTTCATAGTTTGCTTTGGACTTAACTATCTTGAGTAATTTTATATCATCCGAAAAATTTGCCACCTTCTTCCAGATCATTTATGAATACATTGAACAATACTGGTCCCAGTAGAGATCCCTGAAGGACCCTAATATTTACCCGTTTCCACTGTGAAAACGGACCATTTATTCCTACCCTTTGTTTCCTGTCTTTTAACCAGTTCCTGACCCATTACTTATCCCATGACTGCTTACTTTGCTTAAGATCCTTTGGTGAGGGACCTTGTCAAAGGCTTTCTGAAACTCCAAAGTAAACTATGTCCACTGGATCACCCTTGTCCACATGTTTGTTGACACCCTCAAGATTGGTGAGGCCTTAAAATTCTGCCTTATTTACTCTGTTGTTTAGCCATGGTGGTATTTTTTTAGTCCTCTTACTGTTTTTTTCCATTTGGGGTACACATTTAATTTGAGCCTCTATTATGGTGTTTTTAAAAAGTTTCCATGCAGCTTGCAGGCTTTTCACTTTTGTACTGTTCCTTTTAATTTCCATTTAACTAGCTCTCACTTTTATATAGTTCCCTTTTCTGAAATTAAATGCTACTGTGGTGGGCTTCTTAGATATTTCCCCACCCTCCACAAGGATGTTAAATTTAATTACATTACCGTCTCTATTATCTAGTGGTTCAGCTGTATTCACCTCTTGGACCAGCTTTTGTGTGCCACTTAGGAATAAATCAAGAATTGCCTCTCCCCTTGAGTGTTCCAGGATTAGCTGCTCTAAGAAGCAGTCATTAATCGTGTCTAAACTGTATCTCTGCATCCTGTCATGAGACAACACGTATCCAGTCAATATGGGTATAGCTGAAATCCCCTATTAATATTATTGAGTTTCTATTTTCCTCTAATCTCCTTGAGCTTTTCAGAATCACCATCATGGTCCGTAGTATATTCCCTTTCTCTTATTATTCAAGCACGGAATTTCTATCCCTACAGATTCACTTAAAAAATTTACTGTATTTGACTATACATTTTCCCCCCCACACACAGTGCCACACTCCTACCAGCACAATCTACTCTGTCATTCCTATATATTTTGTACCTTGATATTACCATGTCCCCTTGATTATCGTTCCACCAAGTTTCTGTGATGCCTACTATATCAATGACAGGTTTCAGAGTAACAGCCGTGTTAGTCTGTATTCGCAAAAAAAAAAAGGAGTACTTGTAGCACCTTAGAGACTAACCAATTTATTTGAGCATGAGCTTTCGTGAGCTACAGCTCACTTCATCAGATGCATACCGTGGAAACTGCAGCAGACTTTATATATACACAGAGAATATGAAACAATACCTCCTCCCACCCCACTGTCCTGCTGGTAATAGCTTATCTAAAGTGATCATCAGGTGGGCCATTTCCAGCACAAATCCAGGTTTTCTCACCCTCCACCCCCCCCCACACACAAATTCACTCTCATAGAATCATAGAATCATAGAATATAAGGGTTGGAAGGGACCCCAGAAGGTCATCTAGTCCAACCCCCTACTCGAAGCAGGACCAATTCCCAGTTAAATCATCCCAGCCAGGGCTTTGTCAAGCCTGACCTTAAAAACCTCTAAGGAAGGAGATTCTACCACCTCCCTAGGTAACGCATTCCAGTGTTTCACCACCCTCTTAGTGAAAAAGTTTTTCCTAATATCCAATCTAAACCTCCCCCACTGCAGCTTGAGACCATTACTCCTCGTTCTGTCATCTGATACCATTGAGAACAGTCTAGAGCCATCCTCTTTGGAACCCCCTTTCAGGTAGTTGAAAGCAGCTATCAAATCCCCCCTCATTCTTCTCTTCTGCAGGCTAAACAATCCCAGCTCCCTCAGCCTCTCCTCATAACTGATGTGTTCCAGCCCCCTAATCATTTTTGTTGCCCTTCGCTGGACTCTCTCCAATTTATCCACATCCTTCTTGAAGTGTGGGGCCCAAAACTGGACACAGTACTCCAGATGAGGCCTCACCAATGTCGAATAGAGGGGAACGATCACGTCCCTCGATCTGCTCGCTATGCCCCTACTTATACATCCCAAAACGCCATTGGCCTTCTTGGCAACAAGGGCACACTGCTGACTCATATCCAGCTTCTCGTCCACTGTCACCCCTAGGTCCTTTTCCGCAGAACTGCTGCCTAGCCATTCGGTCCCTAGTCTGTAGCTGTGCATTGGGTTCTTCCGTCCTAAGTGCAGGACCCTGCACTTATCCTTATTGAACCTCATCAGATTTCTTTTGGCCCAATCCTCCAATTTGTCTAGGTCCTTCTGTATCCTATCCCTCCCCTCCAGCATATCTACCACTCCTCCCAGTTTAGTATCATCCGCAAATTTGCTGAGAGTGCAATCCACACCATCCTCCAGATCATTTATGAAGATATTGAACAAAACCGGCCCCAGGACCGACCCTTGGGGCACTCCACTTGATACCGGCTGCCAACTAGACATGGAGCCATTGATAACTACCCGTTGAGCCCGACAATCTAGCCAGCTTTCTACCCACCTTGTAGTGCATTCATCCAGCCCATACTTCCTTAACTTGCTGACAAGAATACTGTGGGAGACCGTGTCAAAAGCTTTGCTAAAGTCAAGAAACAATACATCCACTGCTTTCCCTTCATCCACAGAACCAGTAATCTCATCATAGAAGGCGATTAGATTAGTCAGGCATGACCTTCCCTTGGTGAATCCATGCTGGCTGTTCCTGATCACTTTCCTCTCATGCAAGTGCTTCAGGATTGATTCTTTGAGGACCTGCTCCATGATTTTTCCAGGGACTGAAGTGAGGCTGACTGGCCTGTAGTTCCCAGGATCCTCCTTCTTCCCTTTTTTAAAGATTGGCACTACATTAGCCTTTTTCCAGTCATCCGGGACTTCCCCGGTTCGCCACGAGTTTTCAAAGATAATGGCCAATGGCTCTGCAATCACAGCCGCCAGTTCCTTCAGCACTCTCGGATGCAACTTGTCCGGCCCCATGGACTTGTGCACGTCCAGCTTTTCTAAATAGTCCCTAACCACCTCTATCTCCACAGAGGGCTGTCCATCTCTTCCCCATTTTGTGATGCCCAGCGTAGCAGTCTGGGAGCTAACCTTGTTAGTGAAAACAGAGGCAAAAAAAGCATTGAGTACATTAGCTTTTTCCACATCCTCTGTCACTAGTTTGCCTCCCTCATTCAGTAAGGGGCCCACACATTCCTTGGCTTTCTTCTTGTTGCCAACATACCTGAAGAAACCCTTCTTGTTACTCTTGACATCTCTGGCTAGCTGCAGCTCCTGCTGGTGCTAGCCCATCCAAAGTGACAACTCCTTACATAATCAAGTCGGGCTATTTCCTGCATAAATCCAGGTTTTCTCACATCCCCCCCACCCCCATACACACACAAACTCACTCTCCTGCTGGTAATAGCTCATCTAAACTGACCACTCTCCAAGTTTAAATCCAAGTTAAACCAGAACATCGGGGGGGGTAGGAAAAAACAAGAGGAAACAGGCTACCTTGCATAATGACTTAGCCACTCCCAGTCTCTATTTAAGCCCAAATTAATAGTATCCAATTTGCAAATGAATTCCAATTCAGCAGTTTCTCGCTGGAGTCTGGATTTGAAGTTTTTTTGTTTTAAGATAGCGACCTTCATGTCTGTGATTGCGTGACCAGAGAGATTGAAGTGTTCTCCAACTGGTTTATGAATGTTATAATTCTTGACATCTGATTTGTGTCCATTTATTCTTTTACGTAGAGACTGTCCAGTTTGACCAATGTACATGGCAGAGGGGCATTGCTGGCACATGATGGCATATATCACATTGGTTGATGTGCAGGTGAACGAGCCTCTGATAGTGTGGCTGATGTTATTAGGCCCTGTGATGGTGTCCCCTGAATAGATATGTGGGCACAATTGGCAACGGGCTTTGTTGCAAGGATAAGTTCCTGGGTTAGTGGTTCTGTTGTGTGGTATGTGGTTGTTGGTGAGTATTTGCTTCAGGTTGCGGAGCTGTCTGTAGGCAAGGACTGGCC